TCTTGAGAAGGATCTAGCCTCGGATCTAGCCCCTCATGACCAATGTCAATTGTACCTGCAAAAGGTAAAAGATCACAAACATTAAATGCAGTGTTAGCACCATACTCAAAAGTTAAATCAAGCCTATATGCATTATCAATAATTCTTTGGAGGATTTGGAATGGACCATCTCCTCTAGGACTTAGTTTGGACTTCCATTGAGAAGAAAACTTTTCCTTTCTCAAATGAAGTCAAAGCCAATCTCCTTCTTCAAAGACAAGTTTCTTTCTCTTTTTGTTGTTGTAATCAACATATCTTTGAGTTTGTTTTCCAATTTGGGCTTTAACCTTCTCATGATATTTTTTAACAAAATCAGTCCTAAATACTCTTTCTTTATGTAATAGGAAAATAGTACTAGGGAGTGGAAGTATATCAAGAGAAGTAAGAGGGTTAAAGCCATAAACAACCTCAAAAGACAAAGATTGGTAGTCTTGTGAACTACCCTGTTATAAGCAAACTTTATGTGAGGAAGATGTTCATCCAAGACTTCTCGTTGTTTTTAATGATTACCCTTAATAGAGTGGAAATGGATCTATCTACTACTTTTGTTTGCCTATCAGTTTGTGGGTGACAAGTAGTAAAAAGTAGAAATTTAGTTTCAAGTGTTTCCCAAAGAGTTTTCTAAAAATGACTTAGGAATTTAACATCCCTATCCAACACTATTGTTTTGGGTATGCCATGTAATCTAACAACTTTTTCAAAAAAAAAGTCTTGAGATATGGCTAGTATCATTTATTTTGTGGAATGGTATAAAATGAGTCATCTTACTAAAATGGTCCCCTACCCACAAATATGGAATCATATCCCCTTTGGGTTATTAGGAGACCAAGCACAAAATTCAGCTAATGTCAATCCAAGGGGTACTAGCTATTGGAAGAGGTGTGTAAAGTCCATGAGACATTACTCTAGATTTAGCTTCTAAGCAAGCTACGCACTTAGAGTAAAACTTTTGGACATCTACTCTGATGTGTGGCTAATAAATTTTTTCATTTAAGAAACTTAAAGTTTTATCAACTCTAAAATGACCTATGACTTTCTCTTATTAGAAGCTTTCTAATGAATTCTTGGAGTATGCAAAATTTTCCCATCTAGAATTTGTAATTAAAATACAGAGAAAATAGTATTTTAAAATAATATTTTATATATAAAAATAAATTATCTAATCTTAACTTATATTTATTCTAATAATTATTATATTTCAATTAATTCTTTAAAATAAATAAATAAAATAATATTAAATTCATTACATATTCGATTCTATATACAATATGTATCGATCATATATTATTATAATCATTACATAATTGCATTATGCATATGTTATGACTATAATATCATATAATCATCACATAATCGAATATGTCAAGTGTTTTTGTCAATATAATTAGTAAGTGATAATCGAACGACATTTTTTGTTGTTTTCTTAATTCCACGCAAATTCTCTCATTTTTGGTTTTATAACTTCCTTCAAATCCATGTTCCTTCCCCTCCTTTCTTTAAATTCACCTCATCAAGTAAAGGATAAAAGCAAGGTACCATAAGAAAAACTTATCCCTATGGATGTAGCATTTCAAATTTGTATGATTTTTGCTGTTGCACTTCCTTGATATATTTTATATGTAGTTTTATTTAGATAAAGCTCTTTAAAATTACTTATAGAAGAAAAAAGTAAAAATTAAGATAAATTTTTTTATAAGCTAAAATTATTTTATACTTAAACTAATTTGTAAAAACTCGTTCTAATTAACTTTTTTAAAATCTTATTTTTTTTAACTTATAACTTATAGAAAAAATTATTACATTTTTTCCTATGTTTTTAATCTTTATAGTGCTTCTTCAAAAGTTTATCTAAACAAGAATTTAATATATACTCTCTCTTTTTTTTTTGTCTTTCATCTACATTTACTCCTCGGTTCCCCCATCTCTGTAACATGACTATGGAAAGTTTCATTTCATTTTAACTACAAGATAAAGTTTGCTTTTATCCTTAAAATTCAAAATTAAATTTTTTAGTCTATGTAATTTGAAAAAAAAAAAAACTTATTCTAATCTCTTTGCTAAATATTATTAGTAAATTTGTCCAACAAGATTTATTTGTCACTATGCAAAACTCACTTACTAGTACTCTTCTTAATAAAAATATCACCATTAAATTTAACTAATAACGTACAACTAACTTAATATATCTCTATTAATGATAATATTGATAGTCTTGAGAGATTAAAATATTTTTTTAAAAAATTATAAATCTAAAAAAATCAATTTTAAATAAGGGCCAAAATAATTACTTCAATTTTAAGATACTAAAAACATTTAAATTTAAGCCTTATTATTTTTCGAGTGAGTCACCAATTTGCTTGATAACATCACAAATTTTGATTCAATGATTATATGTTGTTGCATTAATTTTCTTCACTATTGGCTTGTTTTGCTTAGGTACCCAACCACAAGTGCATGGGATGTTATGTTGGGCATGAATTTTTGGGGCACCATATATAATATTATTTACATGTTTATGAGGCGATTCGCTTTTGCAAGCAGCACCCAGATGCAGCATGGGATATTTTTCTCTTTTGTTGTTGTGGTGCTGTAGGCTAACACCACCATCACTACCACTGGCAAATTTGTTAGCATTGTGGTGTCTTCACTTTTGAGTTTGAATACCCTATGAACAAAGCAACGGGATGTGTTTTTATGGTATGTAATTGTATGGATATTTTTTTTTTTTTTGAGAAGTTAAAAGTGTTTCATTTTTTTTTTTTTTTTTTAAATCAGTGTTAGAAGTAAAATATTTTTCTTGGTGAATGTTGAGTTTGAATGTAAAAGATTATACTAAAAGATTCTAATTCATTTCACCTATTGTTATGCTAACAATTCAACATTTTGATGCAAGGCTGATTTAAATAATGAAAAATGGAAAAAGATAACGAAATGGTAAGCAAAATAAAATAAAATAAATGACACCAAAATTTCTCCTACCTTTATACCAAGTCACTTTTATTCTCAAGACACATATTATTGCATGGAGAAACATAAACTGGCTAATAGAATTTTACATATAAAAGTGAGGCCGTATATGTTATGAACTTTGAGGTAGAAAGTACAATTGATTACAAATTGACCATACTATTTACACGAAGAAAACAAATAGCTAGTTTTTTTTTGGTTCGTTCCTGGAGTATCCACCGCCGACAACAGTGACTAATCTCCTCGCTACGTTGGAGGCACCTCAAAGGGTGGGATAGCTGGCCCCAAGATTTAACGCGGCTGCATACACAAGGCAAGATTCGAACCCCTGACCTTGTTTAAGCGTAGATCAACCCCTACCGCTGAACCACACGCTTGGGGTTAAAACATAGTTAAAGATAAAACCAGGTCATTCTTGGTTGGTACTATAATTATCACATATATCTATAATTTTATTTTATTTTAATAACTGTAATATTTGTGTGAAGTATCAACTATTGAAGGATATGACTATCTCTACCGAATATCATAAGTGTATACAAGATGAGTATTCTCCCATTAAATTTCATATTAAAAGCTAAAATTTGAACCTTGGACAATTTAATTAAAGAACATAAGTTATTATTAATTATATAAATCAATATTGACATGTATATTATATCTTAATACAGTATCAGGAACCAAAACTGTATTATCTCTATACATATTTCCCAGCTTTTGTTATCTGCTCTCTTTTTTTGTGAATACTATTCTGGTATTAACGCTAAAGAAACCTCGCTAAATAGTTGAACTTGATTTTGTTCAATTAATAAGACCCGTTCAAGCTCTTTAAAAAGTTCTGGATTTGTTCAAATAAACATTTGTAGTTGAATGTTGTTTACCCCTGTTTTAGATCTGGAAGCTCTAATTTCAATAGCAATGATTAGTGTGTGCAGGGTGTAAAGAAAAAGAATGTAAAAATTGTTGTGGTTGGGTCTAATTGGTCAATGTTTACTAGATTAATGCTTTATAAACTTCTGTTTAAATTAGCTTACTTGAACATGGATACCAGTACAGTTGAAATTCTTAAATGGTCTTGCACCATGAGATTTGTTGGATGTCATGTATGTCATCTCATTTTGAATTTAAAATATTTTCATATTAAAAATATTGTTAAGATGAATAATGAATTTAAAATGTTAAAAATATAGTTAAGATGAACAATGACGCATCTAAAATGATACATTTTCCATTCTAGAGAAAACATTCTTATTCTAGAAGTACTTCTGAGTTTCTCTAGCTCTAGCATTTTAGAATTTCTCATAATTGGAGTCAATTTCTCTTAAATTGCATTATACATCTTAAAATAACTTTAAGCCTTTTTTCTAGCTTAGTTAAGGGAATTGAATTGGAGAGAAAATTGGTTGGTCAAATCAAACGAGTAAAAGTGAGTCTTTGGTGCAAAGGCATGCACTTTATTTTGTAGGGCGTTCCCTCTCTCTTTTCGCCCACTGCTTTTGCCTTAGTCATCATTACATGTCTTCTATATTCCATTCCACCACCAACCATGAACTAGTTGTCTTTGTGGTATCTAAATAAGAATGCAGTGGCCACACAGTTCTACGCAGAACAAGACCACACTTCATAGCAAACAAACCATATCAAAGAAGCATGCCTCTACCAGGTGGGTTACAAGTGTCCTGTAAATCCTGTAAGTTTATAATTTTAATTATGTTCCTCATTTCTTTTGCGGTTGTTTTAGAAAATGAAATGAAGCTTTCATTGCTCAGAATTTAGTTGAGAATAAATTGGTTGCAAAGGCATTTGTCATTTTCGTTTTAACTGTGAAGTAAAAACACCAATTATCTTATTCATGTTAAGTGATAGAGGACATATTTGTTTGTGCCTATTTGATTTTCTCCTGAGAAGTTCCCACTTCTCTTCTTCCTAGTTTGGAGAATTCTCTACATTTGACTGTCCCTAAATCCAGGAAAATAACACAGAACAGAAAGGTATTTGCACACCAAACCAAAATGCATTTCCACTCGCTTATAATTAAGTTTCAGTACATCAGAACCAACAAGGAAAAAATATTTATTAAATAACCTATGCACACACTCAACAACAAATAAGAATCATGTTCTCACTGCTAAGCTTTTTTCTCTCTCTTCTACCTATGCTTCTATTCATTATATGTAGTAATCTAAGCAAATGCTAATACACACTCAGGAATCAGGATGCTAGTGTTTACACAACAGGCTCTGTACATAAAAAGGGTTCAAGACAAAAGGCTGGATTGGAGAAAAACAAACCCAGAATAATATCAAAAGAAAACAAACCAAAGAATGACACACTGAGCAAGCCAATTTTATGTGCAAGTATCAAAAAGGTAACCTTGAGTTGGGGGTGGAGGGAGAGGAAAAGGATGATGTTAGATATGTTGAAGAAGGCAAGAATGTTATATATGTAACATTCTCGGGGATCATAAGCCTCTCAAAATTTTAGGAGTGAAATTGCAACATTTCTCTAAAGATGTAGAGAAGATCTCCACAAGCCAGACTTGCCAAGGATGAGAAAGGGGCAAGAATGGATCATAATTTGTATCTCAGATGGATTATAGACTAGGCAGTAGGGCTCTTTTGCACGGTGGTGGTTGTAATGATTTGGCACTTGGGTTGATGGATGGAGATTCCATTCCGAGTGTTTTCCTTAAGAAGTTCCTTTCCTGAAAGAAAAAAGTGTTGAAATAATGGTTAGTCTAGTGTCAAACTTCGATATATTCTAATGATTGACCAAAAAAAGGTGTCATTACCAAAAAAAAACTATCTAATGCAACAGACGGAAAGTCCTATGCTCAGTATCAGAATATAGATTAAACTTATGCCTCTGAGTATATAGAATGTGCTTGATATGTAGGCTCTTTTCCCGACTTTGTGAGTCATAATACCTTCAATCCCTCTGCTGTAAACTAACATGCAATCTACACTAGCAGGGAAGTAAGACAAAAAGTTGGATTTCCTTTGGAAAACTCCCAAACAAAAACCATGATTTGGGCAAAAAGCTCGTCTCTTGTAGCTTTTTCCCAAACCATGTTTTTGGGGTTCCTAACTGAAATCCAATCATGCTAAAGAGCTTAATGAAGTATCGTTCAAGCAGCATGCATGGTAGATGTCTATTTTGTGTTGCAGATGATAATAAAATCTAACAGCTTCCACTCTAAATCTTGCCACAAAATTAAGTATCGTTTACTAAGAGCTTTCCAGCTTTAAAAGCTTTCAGCATGAATACATACTATTATATCATTACGTGTTTCCTATGTATGGAAAATTTCAGTAAGATTTTTACCACATAATCTATAAGCTATAAAATGCAAATGACTTAAAAAAAGATTAAAAAAATGCCATGCATATGTATCACATTAGTTTCACCGGTATATTATCCTTATGTCACCCAAATACTTTATTACAAACAGGGTCTTCTTCATTTATCTCTTTTTCACCGGCATCAACAATATTAGGTAGGGATTGCCTAAATATTTCAAAAGCTCACCATAACTGAACCTGAATGAACCTAGAAGCTGCAATAGATCGAGGAATACTTGAGATTTATTAAAGGAAATACTAATATCTGTTACATAAAATGGTGAAAATGGAGATAAGGTGTCTATGGTTTCATCTAAAGAGTACTGACACTAGAGGTGTAAGGATAGATTATTTGATTAATTATTGATAGATTACTTTGGAATGTATAATTGGCATCCATCTTACTAAACCAGAAAAAGGAAAAAGATCATGATTGCACTAATCCAACACCTAATCATGTTAATTTTCTTAATTAAAATCTAAAGCTTACTGTTTTAACATGTTGCAAGAGAATTGACAAGTTCCCCAAAAGTCCCCCTACAACAAGCTCGATCATTAACTAATTGTACCATTGATACCAGTGTTATGATACATGGGTTCATTTGTCTACCTAATATATCACATTACCAACAATATAATCATGCTACTTGATATAATCTTTCTGTTGGCCTTAAAATTAATCAATGACTAAGTTCTTGGGTTACTTACACTTTCTGAAAATTGTGGGCTGGGAATTCCAGCAGCTAAGGATCTAAACAGAGGGGTAACTTGAAGAGGTGAACTGAACTCCTCCGAACCTGACAAGGCAGAAACAATGCCATCATTGTTTATCTGTTCCTCACAAGATGGGAATAAATCTG